GGCGAAAAGTTAAAGATTATTTTCTCTAACTCGAGATTATTCTGTAACATAGTTTCAAAAGGTAATATGTGCTCGGGATTCGTTGAAGGAATCAATTTGAAAACTGACGAACCTTTTCATTCCGTGACTGTACATTACGTATTTAATTGCATACATAACAAAACCTTCAACTCACCTATGGAAGAAGTCTTGATACAGCCATCTTGAAGGAAAGCCGGCAGCTGATATCCTGATGGTCTCCAACACACCGCATGCTCTGTAAGCAATACAAGAAAATATTATTCATTCAATTTAGACCACTGGTGGCACTTATGAACGTCTAAATATCCTACTAATATTATAAAGGCGAAAGTTTGGATGTCATGATGTCTGGATGTTTGTTACTCTTTCACGCAAAAAGTACTGAACGGAATTTGTTGAAACTTTACAGTATTATTGTTTATAACCCAAATTAACATATAAGCTATAATTTATGACGATATGTAACAAATAAGACGTCCAAAAAGAGCCATCTATCGTCATTGGTTAAAATCTACAGCGCTGGACAAACTACTGTTTTTGACATTCGTAAACATTCATGCCGTGAAACGCCATCTATCAACATGATATCTAACGGGGGTAAAACGAGGTCCACGCGTACGAAGTCGCGGGCGGCCGCTAGTAGTAAAATAAAAAAAGGTAGCCCTTAAGGGGCACTTTACATGTCTCCTTATCTTTTGGGCCCTACAAGCGCTTCGAGACAAACATTATGGCAAGTGCTGAGAAGAAACGCCGGAACAAACTCAGTCACCACTATTTGCCAGTAATTATCTAACGGTAAGAAGAATAACCATATTCAAGTTCATCAAATATGTGCAGACTGAACTGACCACGCATCCTTGTCATCAATATAGTCTCGAACCTTGTAGTACCCTTTGGACATAAGGGTATTTTTTATATGTATCTTCATCATTTCAGCCACGTCGGTCACGGACGTCCACTGCTGAACATAGGCCTCCCCCAATGCTTTCCACGTTGATCGATTGGTAGCGGCCTGCGTCCAGTGCTTCCCTGCTACCTTTACGATGTCGTCGGTCTACCTTGTAGGTGGACGTCCCACGCTGCGTTTTTCGGTACGCGGTCTCCATTCCAGAACCTTTCTGTGACGCTGGAGTCACTGTGACGCTGGAGTCACTGTGACGCTGTGACACTGTGACGCTGGAGTCACTGTGACACTGTTGTCTCACCTGAGCTGGTGCACCGCCCGCGCCGGGTCGAAGCGGAAGGCTTCCTTCGTGTCGTTGGGCTTGATGCAGCGCACGTAATGCGGCGTGGTGGCAGACAGGGTTGCCATGAGGCGGACAGCGAGGGAACGGCGAGCCCGCTGTCTGCTGGACTGTGACGCTGGAGTCACTGTGACGCTGTGACACTGTGACGCTGGAGTCACTGTGACACTGTTGTCTCACCTGAGCTGGTGCACCGCCCGCGCCGGGTCGAAGCGGAAGGCTTCCTTCGTGTCGTTGGGCTTGATGCAGCGCACGTAATGCGGCGTGGTGGCAGACAGGGTTGCCATGAGGCGGACAGCGAGGGAACGGCGAGCCCGCTGTCTGCTGGACTGTGACGCTGGAGTCACTGTGACGCTGTGACACTGTGACGCTGGAGTCACTGTGACACTGTTGTCTCACCTGAGCTGGTGCACCGCCCGCGCCGGGTCGAAGCGGAAGGCTTCCTTCGTGTCGTTGGGCTTGATGCAGCGCACGTAATGCGGCGTGGTGGCAGACAGGGTTGCCATGAGGCGGACAGCGAGGGAACGGCGAGCCCGCTGTCTGCTGGACTGTGACGCTGGAGTCACTGTGACGCTGTGACACTGTGACGCTGGAGTCACTGTGACACTGTTGTCTCACCTGAGCTGGTGCACCGCCCGCGCCGGGTCGAAGCGGAAGGCTTCCTTCGTGTCGTTGGGCTTGATGCAGCGCACGTAATGCGGCGTGGTGGCAGACAGGGTTGCCATGAGGCGGACAGCGAGGGAACGGCGAGCCCGCTGTCTGCTGGACTGTGACGCTGGAGTCACTGTGACGCTGTGACACTGTGACGCTGGAGTCACTGTGACACTGTTGTCTCACCTGAGCTGGTGCACCGCCCGCGCCGGGTCGAAGCGGAAGGCTTCCTTCGTGTCGTTGGGCTTGATGCAGCGCACGTAATGCGGCGTGGTGGCAGACAGGGTTGCCATGAGGCGGACAGCGAGGGAACGGCGAGCCCGCTGTCTGCTGGACTGTGACGCTGGAGTCACTGTGACGCTGTGACACTGTGACGCTGTGACACTGTGACACTGTTGTCTCACCTGAGCTGGTGCACCGCCCGCGCCGGGTCGAAGCGGAAGGCTTCCTTCGTGTCGTTGGGCTTGATGCAGCGCACGTAATGCGGCGTGGTGGCAGACAGGGTTGCCATGAGGGCGGACAGGGAAGCCCGAAACTGGGAGCCCACTGTCTGTTTGCCGCCGGACGCTCGGCGCGGCGGTTGCTGTGGAACAATAAGAATAATTGGTATTATATCTACTATAATCTGGTCGCCTAGCACGTAGAATTTTGTCCAATGACCCCAAGCTACCCATCCTTATAGCTCGCTCGTAATTATATTGCTGTCGCGACTGTGCGACGGGCGCCCGCAGTGAGTGTGCGAGCGCGACAGCAACATAATTAAGCGCGAGCGATAAGGATGGGTAGTTTGGGGTCATTGGACAAAATTCTACGTGCTCACAGACCGGGCTTAAGCAACTAAAATTGCGTGTCAATATACCGCAACATTGTAGATTAGCGACGCGTCACGGCCTTAAGGCACTAGACTTGACTTTTCTTACCGTAAGACTGGGTGAAGGTGCGGGTGCGTTTCGGCGGCGTAGCGGCAGCGTGGCAGAAGCGACGGCGGCGTCCTGCTCCGGCGGCAAAACGGCTCGCAACAGGCGGCAGGACGCCGCTCGCACGCACTCCAACTGTTCCGCGGATACTGTGTCGCGGTTCTTTTCTAGGAAACCGCCGGCTTGGTACTCTACGTTGTCGGCGAAGTGCTTGATTATGAAGGCTGGAACAAAACCATAGTTTACTAATTGCGGTATATAGTTACGTATGTCCTAGAGACATCATCATCTCTTTCTATGTGCTGAAGCCAAAATTATACTGCGCCGCTTATCATATTAGGTCTTCCCTGGATCAAACCTTTCAAGGCTTCATACCTTGTCTATGAAGTAACCCCCTAAAATCTAATTTGCCCCTCTTTTTTATCACCCCCTCTCTAGTCAGACTGTCCCTCTTGACAAGAACCCCTTTTTATTAAACTGCTCCCCCTGGATGAGACTGCGCCACCCACCCTGGGTTAAACTGCCCTCCTAGTTCACACTCTCCCCTCTTATCAAACTGCCCTCTCTTGATAAGACTCTTACCCACTCTTTTTAGACTGTCCTCTCTTGATCAGACTGCTCCCCTTGAGTCACACTGCCCCCTTGATAAGAATTTCCCCCTCTTGATAAGACTGACCCCCCTCTTGATAAGACTGCCTCGCTCTTGATAAGACTGGCCCGCTCTATAAGACTGCCCTCTCTAGATTAGAGTGCCCCCCTCTTGATAAGACTGCCCCCCTCCTAATAAGNCATACCTTGATAAGACTGCACCCCCTTGACAATGATAGTGACTCACCAGATGCCCCGAATCTTGGCTTCAAGAAGTGCGGGTATTTAGCGCACTTGTCGTGCAGCTTGGCCGCGAAGCCACCGTCGGAGCCCTGCGGCACTCGGCACTCCTCGTCCAGGAGCGCTAGCACTCCCAGCCTGTCTTCGATCAGGTCTATGCACGGCTGATTGTCGTAGAAGTCTATCATTTTCCAGGATATCTCCTCCTGTGGGAGCATATTTTGATGTATAAGAGGAAATAGGCTAAAATATATTGGCATCGTATGCAAATAGCAGACTTGAGGAAGACTACGAGTAGTTCGATTCTGTCGTTCATTTCAACTAACCAAAAGACGTCCATTACTAGACAAAGGCCTTCCCTAAGACTGTAAAACCCTGGTTTTCCGATATAAATAAATAAATAAGAATTTGCACAACGGTCCTGCGCTGTCCGCAATAGGCTTCCCGTGTCCTTCACAACATCTTTCGGTCCGTGGTCGCCACACGAGAACTTTTCTGCCCCAATGGCAATCAGGTTTACCAGCTATGTGTCCCGTCTACTGGTACTTAAATTTGTCAATTCTATTGGCTATAAGAACAATACTACTTGTACCGTTGATATCGTATATCCTAAGAAAACAAATATGCAAACATTAGGCCTCCCCAACCCATCTGACCAGTGTGGAGTGTAGTAGATCGAATTCTCCATTGCCTCTGGTAAATTGGAAAGGGTCTTGCTCGTGCAGTGGAGAATAAATGACCTGATAATCATCATCATCATCATCTCAGCCATAGGACGTCCACTGCTGAACATAGGCGTCCCCTAAAGATTTTCACAAAGGCCGGTGGTAGCGGCCTGCATCCAGCGCCTTTCTGCTACCTTTATGTGGTCGTCGGTCCACCTTGTGGGTGGACGTCCTACGCTGCCTTTTCCGGTACGTGGTCTCCACCCCAATGGTGTATTATCTGAGTATTAATCCGGCCAATGGAAATCATTGGGGGAGGCTATGTCCAGCAGTTAAATCAAATCTTTTTTTTTTTTTTATGCTAGCCAAGGCAGGTATTTGACCGCAATCGCACCTGGTGTTAAGTGAGATGCAGTCTAGGATGGTACATATCTGCCCTGTAAGTGCCTATTCACTATAAATCAAAAATATTTATTCAATTTTGACAGCCTGTGGCTAAAATGATGATGATCTATGTATCCGACCCTGATATTAATGTTGTCCTATCTGAGCATCGAACCCGCACTCTAACCGGCCTCACCTTGATATACTCATCCTGCTCCAACTTAAACACGTGCGAGTTGAACTGCTGCTGCAGCTTCTCGTTGGCGTAGTTGATGCAGAACTGCTCGAAAGAGTTGATCTCGAACGTCTCGAAGCCGTAGATATCCAGCACACCTGGAAATATACGAGGTTTACACCTGGAGTTTTGACCGAACGCGATGGAGGACTTTTGGGGACGCCCTCTGCCCATCTAGGGGACATAGGACCTTAAGTCAAGTAAGTCAAGACCTGGAGCTGGAATGTGTTTTGCAAGGAAAAGAATCGTTCTATAAGATTTTAAACTTTCGCGTTCCATTTCAATTAAAATAGTCACTGTCTGCTTGTGACCACGGCTGCAGCATCGCAGCTGAAACGTCAAGCCGTGAGTACATAATGTAACTCATTAATAATACGTCGAGTTAAGACCCGTGTCTTACTATTATAATTTAAAAGAATCGTTCGTTCGTTTCAGCCGAAAGACGTCCACTGCTGGACAAAGGCTTTCCCCCAAGGATTTCCACAAAGACCGGTTCTGCGCCGCTCGCATCCAGGCATCTCCCGCGACCTTTACTAGATCGTCGGTCCACCTAGTTGGAGGCCTGCCCACGCCACGTCTTCCGGTTCGTGGTCGCCACTCAAAAACTTTCCTGCCCCAGCGGTCATCGGCTGTACGAGCTATGTGCCCCGCCCACTGCCACTTGATTTTAGCAATTCTGATAATAAGTAAAAGAAAAACTTTTTACTAATAAAGCGCCAACCATTCAAACAGTTTTTAGGCCCCGTAAGAATCACATATCCAGGACAGGGATGTTATGGATATCCGTAACCGTAACCGAAACTATCGGATATCTGAAATAAAAAAAAATTCCATAACCGAAACCGATTCAAAAGTTTCGGATAAAAGCAGTCTAAATTTTAATACTATTTGTTACTTGTCTGGCATTCCCTGGCACCACCTAATATCCCCGCCTGTTTTACCTTTTATCATAGGTGTCGTATGTACATAAAGTGGCTATGTGGGTCGCGTAGTATCTTACTATTTGAATTTTACATTTTTTAAATTCTAATATCCGTAACCGAAATTATCCGAAACTTTCGGATAATCCGAAATGATTTCATATCCGTAACCGTAACCGAAACCGACATAATATTATTCTAATATCCGTAACCGTATCCATAACTGAAATTTCATATCCTTAATATCCTTGGAACAAAAGTCCGGTCGCCGAGCAGATACAATTTCGTACAATGACCCCACCCAAACTACCCATCCTTATCGCTCGCACGTAATTATATTGCGGTCGCGATTGTGCGACGGACGGCTGCAGCCGCAGTGAGTGTGAGAGCGCGAGCTTGGGGTCATTGTACGAAATTCTATCTGCTCGGCGACCGGACTTTAATAACTTACCAATAAAGTGCTTCTTAGCGTGTCCCGTATCGAGCGCCCTGTTGACCGCACAGACTACCCACGCGAACAATTCTCCATATAGTCTCTTCGCTAGCGCGTCCCGTGAGAACATCGCACGGGATACGTCCGTACGGGACACTATGACCTGTGGGAATAAAACTATGTATCAGCCATCAATGAAGGGATAGCCGAACGGTGAAGGGGTCGGAATGGCCGACTCGTGATCCGGGAAACGCGGGTTCGGTCCCCGCCGCCGCTCGACTATTGTGGTGAGCTCACTCGTGATACAAGCATATTTAGCTTAGTACGAGGGGCTAATGGGACTATTAGTAATTTTTTCAATACAAATTGCTAATAATCTTTAAAAAAAATAGCTTTTTGCCAGACTGCGTCAGAAGGAGAGTTATGTTTTCTTTTATCACCTTTTTTGCAGATACAGCAAGACCAAATATGCAAACTAGGTAGTTTGAATAAAAACTATTTAAAAGGAATGAAGACACACGCGACTAACTAGCGTAGCATCTTGCGCGATTTTTAACAAAAAATAACATTCTGTTGCACTATCGACTACTAAATACAGGGTGGAATTTTGTAATGCCACCTGGAGGGAAAATGAACTTAATGTTGAAGATAGATAGGCAATTTTACTCAAAAAAAACTTTTAAAAGAAAGAAAACTGTATTCAGAGATTTCCGAAAATTCTCTTGCCACACCCGGGATTTGATCCGACTAAAATGTGTTAAAAATTACACCCTGTATTTTTAGCTTCTGATAAAAAGAATCTCTAATAATAACAATAAAACAAATCTTATTTACCTACACGGCTATTGAATCTAAAATAGACTGATGATTGACTGTACTTGCTAATATTCCCGCCATACTAAAACAAATCTTATTAACACGGCTTTAAAGTTAAAAACAGCATACCTCATGAGCAGAAGTGATGCGGCGGTGCGTCAACCAACGCCGTAGTTCCACGCTCGACACTCCCAGCAGTGAACATACCCTCGCCAGGTGCTTGTCGTTTGACTGTGGAGGATATACAATGATACTCGTATTCATCATCAGTTCAAGTCTCCACTGCAAAAGCTAATTGTAAATCTACTTTTACACTTGAAAAACATACAGGGTGTCCCAAAAACAGTGGATAATCTTGTTTTTGGGACACCCTGTATGTTGTAACTATCGATAAGCCTCACTATCACTATGGTCTCTCTAATATAAAATTTTGACCAGGTAAATATCACTATTTTGATATTTTTAGTATTTTTAGAAAACTGACACCTGCGATTGCGATGCGAGATTACGAATTAAATTTTCCTTTTCTTCTTTTTCATTTTTTTTAGATACTTAGGAACTAGTTTGTTGAATTTCATGAGAAAAACTAATCAGATGGCAATTTTCTAAAAATAAAAATCTTTAAATCTGTGTCATTTTTACTAAGGTCAAAATTTGATATTATAGAGATCTTGAGGAGGCCTATCGATAATTGTAAGGTTATCCATTGTTTTTGGGACACCCTGTATACTAACGAAATAAAATAATTTCTTATAGAGGGTGACTTTTAAATCGTTGACATCCTTTTATTAAAATAAGGCTCTACTCATGATACATAGTACATTCCCCAAATATGAGACAAATTCAATGAGTTAAAATTTCAATATTTAAAATCTTGTACAGACGACAGCACATTAATTTTAATACTGTGGCATCTTATTTCGATGTATTAAGTGTTAATTTGCAACAAAATGTATGGGCTGATGTGCTGTTGACTGTACAATAGTTTTAAACTCTTTTTAAGAGCACACTAATGCAAATAGGTAGCAAAAATAATGACAAAAAATCTCATTGGATTTGTCTCATTTTTAGGGAATGCACTACATATGTATGCAGAATGTCACCCTGTACTTACACTGATATAAGCGCCGTCTTCACACTCGGTATCGGGCGCGGCGTCCGGGTCGTGTTCGTAAAACTGGATGTTGCCCAAATGTAAAATGGCGGACAGGATCGTGAACATATCCTGCTGCTCTGATTCTGTCACTCCTGTAAGAAAAAAACAGTAAAATTAAGGTAGCCTTTCGAACTAAGCGTCACTGACAGCGTCTTTAGCTTTGGTCTTGTGCCACCAACGCCGCGTCATTAACTCGCTTCGAAAGGCTACCTTTAAGACCAAAGCTAAAGACGCTGCGTCTGTGACGCTTAGTTCGAAAGGCTACCTTTAGTGGTTTTCTGAATATAAAGGATTTAGCACATTTATCAACCCGGAAAAGGATCGTAACCGTATCAACTCGAGGCGGTCAGTATTCTTTGTATGAAAATTGAAAATCCATACTGCAATGCACACTTATCCGAACCTCCACCACCGCCTCACTTCGCGACGAAAGGAGATATGGTGTTGATCCCTTTCCGGGTTGATAGGTAAGTGTGCTATGAACTTCCACACACTTTTCATTTATTTTAATTGACTTCCCAGCTGAAGTCTATTTTCACAGATTATTATATTCATAAGCCCTGACCAATTTTTTTCCTTTTAGGAGCATGATAAATATTATTAAATTATTAAATATCCTATTGTCCTAATAATTTTTTTTTTATGCATAACAAGGCGGGTATTTGACCACAATCGCACCTGATGTTAAGTGGGATGCAGTCTAGGATGGTACATATCTGCCCTGTAAGTGCCTATTCACTCTCGCCTTGAAAAGGCCCGGATTATAGTTTTCGGGAAAGACAGCAGCAGGCAACGAATTCCAGTCCCTATCTGTTCGCATTATAAATAAAAACACAACTATTCAATATAGATTTTGTAAATCAGCCAATGAGCCTGTTGCAATCGTAGTTAAAATTAAAATAATAATAAAAAACATGCCAATCGAATTGAAAACCTCCTCCTTTTTTGAAGTCGGTTAAAAAATAGCTTACCTAAAGTAGTAAGTGCGTTTTTGGTCTCATTGAAGGCTCGGAGGTCGTCGACCCCGTCGATGTCAGGGCTGCCGCCTTGGTTTAAGTAGTGGAAGGAGTCTTGGTGGTCTGGAACAACGGGAATACATTAGAAAAGGAGTTTTATTTGTTGGGTATAGATGCTATTTTGGAATAACAGGCTGATAGACTGTCGACTATGTACTAGACAGGCACGGTAGCCCAACGGTGAAGTGGTCGGAGTGGCCGACTCGAGATCCGAGGAACGCGGGTTCGAATCCCACCGCCGCTCGACTATTGTGGTGAGCCCACTCGTAACACAAGCTTAATTAGCTTAACACGAGGAGCTAACGGGACTATTAGTAATTTGTGCAATAAAAATTGCTAATAGTCTTATAAAAAAAAGGTTTTCTTTCTTTCTGCTTCTTTCTTTTTGTGCTGTAAATCAACAGACCTTGTTAAATCTTCTTACATGCTGGAGGCCGGGCATTGAGAAAAAATAAGCTTTCCGTCAGCTTTTACACAAAGACGCAGCTGCGTTCCGTTTACGTTACAACTTCGTTTAAACTAGCTGTCAAAGCGACACCGCGATACGAATTTGTGCAAACAGCTGATTTTCGTTCGTCGCCCAGTCGCGTTGCAGTTAAAAATATTTAGCGCAATCGGGGCTCTGGTTGAATGTTACCTAGATGCAGGTCGGGCATGCGGCAGTTTTGGAGCCTACATTACTGGATTCTGCAAAACTAGACTGTAATTAGGTGCCCCATTTTTCTTTCTTTCTTTATTTCCTTGTGCTGTAAATTTTTTTTCACAACGAGGAAGCTCTTGGCCTGTATCTCACCTGATGGAAAGTGATGATCAGGCCGAAGGTGGAAGCGAGCTTCACCCGGAATCCTCAACCACGGAGGAACTGGCTATCTTACCTCTTCAAATAACTTGACCTTCCAGTGAAGGTCAAGTTATTAACCCAACCAGTGTTGGGTTTTTATTGGCAGTCAAGCTGTAGATCCTAGCTACACAGGAGTTGCAGTGGTGGGAAAGAGAGGTGGGAATAGTCCCGTGTTTTTATCTTACTGCTAACTGCCGGAACACAACAATTGCTGTTATCAATCAAAATAATATGTTAAAGCCCGGTCTGTGAGCACGTAGAATTTTGTCCAATGACCCCAAACTACCCATCCTTATCGCTCTATATTGCTGTCGCGACTGTGCGACGGGCGCCCGCAGTGAGTATGCGAGCGCGACAGCAACATAATTACGCGCGAGCGATAAGGATGGGTAGCTTGGGGTCTTTGGACAAAATTCTACGTGCTCGCAGACCAGACTATACATCCTGTATATTATCTTACCTAGCTGCAGGCCGGGCAAGCTGGCGGCCGCCGCGCAAAGCTGGTAGAACACGTGGTAGTTCCGCTCGCCGGAGCTCTGGTAGACAACACGCGACTTCTCCAGGAGGTAAGTCCGCATACTGGCACCGGATATCCGGTACGAGTTGTCGAAGTGGATCTCGATGAACTTGCCGAAGCGAGACGAGTTGTCGTTGCGGGTTGTTTTGGCGTTGCCTATCGCCTGGAATAAATAAAGTTTATAATAGAATAAAAAGAAGCTTTTTTCCAGTAGTGGACTACTGGTGATGATGATCAAGACCAAGGCCACAAGGCCGAAAGGGCCTGCCTACACTACTGACTTCCATAGCCCGTAGAATAATTAAACTCAGTCTAAAAAGACAAGCTCTTTATATATTTTTAACATCGACTCCGTTGAGCTGTTTACCTATTTGCGTATATAAAATCTGAGGGAATCTGTTTTTTTTACCGCCTTAACTAAAATGTTGCTGTCGCGCTCGCACACTCACTACGGCCGCCCGTCGCACAGTCGCGACAGCAATATAATTACGCGCGAGCGATAAGGATGGGTAGCTTGGGGTCATTGGACAAAATTCTACGTGCTCGCAGACCAGACTATAACAATTCGAAGGGTTCCTGTCTGCATGGCCCACTCAAACTTGCCTTTAAACCTTTATCTAATGGCGGCAGAATAATTGCCACCATATTTTGAACTTTGAGCTAACATGAGGTTCAAAATAAATGAAAAATATTTTTCTCTATACCAGTGTGCTTACCATGAGTATACATTAGCTGTGCTCGCTAGCAACTGCGTTGTACAGCGCCCTTAGCGGTAACTTTAAAGAACTAAAATGTTCACATATTTTTTGACGGAACCCGTTAGCGATGACGTAAACCAACCAGTGTGCCTACCATGAGTTTACGTTAGGTGTGCTCGCTAACGACTGCGTAAAAAAATGACATTTAAATGTATGACATATTGTGCAGCGCCCCTAGCGGCTACTTTCAAGAAATAAAATCTTCATAGAATTTTTTGACGTATTCGCTAGCGAGCTCACTTAACGTAAACTCATGGTAGGCACACAGACCAAAATTAAATGGTTTTAGGACAAATCTGGGTCATTTCTCCTCTATCAACAGGATTCAGTCACAATTTAGCAACCTGTCACGTTCGTCCGGGGCCAGCGTTGATATGTCATCTTCGCTACGTAAATTCAAAAAACAAATTTCTGAATTGTATACTCCGACGGTTAGTTAATAATTTATTGTATTGCATACTGTCACTTTGGCAACGTTATTATTGTTATCCAACATTCTGTGCATGTCGTGGCAACCTTTAATTAAGGCAACACCTTAGCTTAATTTATTTATAAGGATACTGTGAATGTATGGTGTATGTTTTGTTGGTTGTCCTTAAATAAATAAATAAATAAATAAAATAAAATGTAAACTCATGGAAAAGCTACAGTTAAAGGGTCTCACCTCCATGATAGGACTGGAAGCCAGCACCTTCCTTTCAACCTGCGTCTCGCTAGCATTCCCTCCGACCGCCGCGAAGTATCGCATCGCATATTTGGCCGATACCGTCTTGCCTGCGCCAGATTCGCCGCTCACTGTTGAAGATACAGGGTGTTAGTGATTATGACTCCTTGGGAGTCTATGAATATAAAGGGGGTTTTATCTGCTCTATTTAACAATTAGTGACCTAGGTCTGTCGAACCTATGCGAACATAACAAGTAGTTTTTTTTTTCAATTCATTCATTTTAATGTACCTAGTAGTCATGGATCTCTTGGACCCATTAATAGACAATTTAAAAAAAAATCATATGCAGAAATCCTATTATCTAATGGTACAGATTTTATTTTATTTTTATTTTATTTTATTTGTTTAACAATGTTTCAACAGCATTAAATTGTACATAAATGTGCAGGAAGATACAACTTGAACATAAGCCAATTAAAGAAACACATTCTATTACATATATTACATGGATAATTCTTCCAAATTACGTCCACGGCTAAAGCACACTCACTGCGGGCGCCCGTCGCACAGTTGTGACAGCAATATAATTACGCGCGAGCGATAAGGACGGGTAGCTTGGGGTCATTGGACAAAATTCTACGTGCTCGGCGACCAGACTATAGACAAAGACAACGATTCCACAACGACCGGCCCAGCGCTGCCCGCATCCAAGTGCTTCCCGCTTCACCAGATCGTCGGTCCACCTAGCGACTGTCCACTCACCAATAATGCTCTGGTCCCGTCGCTCCCGCTCGAGCTTAGTAAAAGCCTCCTCCGACACCGCAAAGATGTGAGGGTCCAGGTCACCCATCGACTGCCCGCGGTAAGCCATGATGGTTTCATCGCCTGGGTAATAAAAAAATATTATTAGGTGAAAAAAGATGAAATAACTGTTCACAAACACACGGGTTACAAAACAATAATTATGCAAAACATCGCAGCGTCAACATATAACCCAGAAAAACAAATGATACCGCGAGTCAACTCGATATAGCGCCATCTATGAATGAAAATTGGAAATAAGGAGTGGCGCCAATATGCCAAGTGCATTACATTTTGCAGTAGGTACTGGCTCCATTTTGAAGTGCTAAATGTGGATAAGCAATCAATGATGAGGTATTGAGTACCTACCTATTATAAATAATTACGAAAAAATTGAAAAAAAATCGATTTATGCCCGTTTTCACCATCAATCCCTAATTTTTAAGTGACCGCTATGGTAACACATAACAGGAACTTTGTTTTCATTGTGGTCACTTAAAAATTAGGTATCGATGGTGAAAACGGGCATTAGACCAATAATTTGGCAATTATAATAATAATACTGTTTATTGTGTACAATAAAGAGTTTAAATAAATAAATAATAAAAAGGTGGGATACCTTTTTCTTGAGGGAGTCTTATTTTGCCCTACCAGCTAGAGTTACCTATGACAGTACATTTTACTGAAATCAGTGTTACAATTCGCTCAATTAATTATTACCAGGTCCCAACAATACACTACCTAATAAAAGGAATCAGGCTACACCCACGAACCCTCGGTCCATTGAGCAGCATGAATGCGATATCCTATCGGTATATCCGTTGAACTTTAATCTCCTGGTGTAATCATTGTAGTAATGCAATGCTATATTTTAATTGGTATTAAAACTTTACTGTGGCTTTACCTAAAATTACAAACGTTCCAATTCAGCCATAAACTATGAATAAACTTCTCTACCAATTTTGCTATTGTATAGCGTTAATACAGGGTGGGCCAAAAAATTTTGCAAATAGCAACGCTTGATTTCTCGAAAACGGTTCGAAATAGAAACACGTGGGTGGTGGGAAACTGTGCATAATTTCGTAATTTCGTGCTTAGTTTCCTAAAAAAATTTTTTTAGTCCGTAATGTTTAATATCAAAAAATATTGGACACATATATTTTTATTTGTCAATCTAACAAATAATTACATAGTTATGGTGCGTTGAAGTTCCGCACGACGTCACAACGTGCGGCACTTTTATGGGGTCCGTGGCCGAGTCCCCCAGTTTTCGACGCACCCGTCGTCGACGCCCCCGGACAGTTAAATTCGATTTGAAGCAATTTTTAATCAAATGTACAGTCAGGCACAAAAATGTTTATAAACTAATAAATATTTATTAGGCCAGTAGAATAATTTGGTTTAATTATTAAACACAAAAATGAATCTAATGAAATGAAAATAATTCCTACAAAAGTTTTTTGTTTCTTACTACTGCTGGTTTTGGGTTAAAATTTTGCTCCCAGATTGCATAAATACCGTCAAACATGCATAGTTTAGTATAATAATTAGCTTGTGAAACTTTTTTCGTTGACTGTACTTAGTGCAAAAGCCGAAAAAAATGTGATATTAAATTTATTTAAATCGGGGGCGTCCACCACGGGTGCGTCAAATACTGGGGGACTCGGCCACGGACCCCTTTTATGCACGCATTGACGTCACGGGCCTCTTCTTATGAACTTTGGCGCGCTTTATCTCTTTAAATTTTCATTAGTTTGAAAAAGTGAAAAATATGTGTAGAGTATTTTTTGATAAGTTAACTGACGGACTAATTAAAACTCTTGCTTTTTGACCCAGGAAACATCCCTAGCATATAGATCGATCCAAAGCACTCACATGTACTTTTGATTATTCTAAATCCAAACTAGTAGGCATTTAATTGACTGAAAAAGTAAAAACCTAAAAAAACTGTTAAATAAAAAAAACTCACCGTAAATAGGTAAGTCATAGTAGGGGTTGATGGCGACGAGTACGATGCCGCAATACGTGTAGATTGCATTTCTGTCGCAAAATCTGAAAAAAACATTTTAATTAAAATATCTTAAAAAAAATATTCTCCAAAAAATGTTTTCCTTCAACTGCAATTTTTACTTTCCCAAAGCGTACGAGGAGGTTGCATTTTTAAGCATATATTTTTTTACTTGACTGTACCGAGTACCTAACATATCGTGCAGATTAAAAACTCTTTTTAAGAAACTCTTTTCTTTTATGTTAAAGACCAAACTCTTTAAAAAATAAACCTTTACTCGTTCATTTTCTATTATTTGAACAAGTGCAAACAACAATCATTTTGGGGCGAATTTGTTATGAACAGCTGTGTGTTAATCTGGTCAAATGGAATATGGTTTACCTACTTTTACTAATGCTCCTTAATATCATGCATTTACACGAGGCGAAAGTTCCCATGACTATTATTTATCCAAGCCTCAAATAATTAATTATATCTATCTAATAATTATGTATTATTAAATAAAAATACGGACAAATTACTAATATTACATTGCAATATAACAAATAATTATAAAAGTTAGTACAAAATTTTATGAGATAACCAATTCACTCATGCATGAAACATTGTGAGAATGTTGTTATGAGTCATACTTATTAAGTACTAACTCAATGAACACATTGTCGGCATAATAAACACGGCAATTAGCGGATTAAGAACATTTCAATTTACAAAATTGTACCCAACATTACGTGTTATTGTGTGGTTTAGATATTATACAGGGTGAAACTTCGTGTAGATACCCTCAATATCAGCAGTTAAGTTTGACCTGCCAACTTCTTTAAACTGGTTTTGTTGACTATATTTGTTTCACCCGCGTGGATTTCGGCCTATCACAGTCTTTAAGGTCATAGCACACTTATCAATCCGGAAGGGGATCAACACCGTATCGGCTTCGCCGCGCTGTCACCCGCGAGACGAGGTGTTTATGTTACTGTGCGCTTAAGTGTGCGTTGCAGTAACTTACCGAGTTTCATACAAAGAATACTGACCGCCTCGAGTTGATACGGTTACGATCCGTTTCCGCGTTGGTAAGTGTATTTCGTCCTTTATCGTGAACATTCAAATATAATAATGATATTTCATATCTAAGGGCTGAGTGTGAGTTTACATTAAACGCGCTCACTAGTGAGCACGTTTAAAAAATGTATGAAAATTTTAGTTTTTGAACGTTTCCCGCTAGGGGCGTATAATCCGTCATACATTTAATGTCATTTTTTGACGCGCTCACTGAATAAACCACGGATACTCTCGGCGCACTTAAGGGACTCTTATCTAGGTATAAATAAGACGTCAATATTTAGGTGACAATTTATTGCTTGACACAGGTTGTCAATGGTTCTCAAAGGTTAACAGATGTCAAAATACTCCAGGTATATAAAGCCAGGGAAAAAAATCTGGACACCGCGGTACAACTTTACGCGTCTCAAAGAGCAGTGACATCTCTCGGCAAATAACACAAACAAGTTTCATGGTAGGTTTATACATATCGCCCACCAAGGACCGTCCAAGGTCCTTAACAACAGGAAAATTGAAAAGAAACCAAATGAAACTTATGCGAATGCATCGCCCACCATGAAATAGGTTACGGTACACATCAACAATAAAATTAAAACAAACTATGTAAAAAACCATTGTACCGTAAAATATCAAAAACACATTCAATATACTCAAAACATAAAAACCTTAAAACTAAATAAACTATATTTAGCTTTAGGAAGGAGACAAATTTGTTACCCTTGAAACTAACAACTAGAACATCATCGTTACCGGGATGGACCACAATCACCCTGCCACTAAGCCAAGACCCGTAGCTAGTTGTCCACCGTTAAGACAACTAAATCACCAACTTTTAGGTTGACGAATTTATATAGTCCACCTCTATGTTTTTGCCTTACGACGTTCATAAAGCTGTAAGTTTGCAAAGTCTCCAACCAATTTTCAACTGTTTCACAACAAGAAAAGATCAAGAACCGGAGAAAACTACGTTTGGATAAGTATACGTTTTATTTTATCCTTTCAACATCAGCGCTTTACCTCAGATTGGCATGCAACTATACTATACATACAACCCATAGCCTTCTGTATCTCTACTGTTGTTGAATACCCATCGCATTTCTCAAGTGTATCCTTTTATATTTAACTTTTCTTTTTATTTCAGTTTCTTCGTAGGTCTGCACGTCGACCTTGTAGCGGTATACATCTTCACTTCGGTTCCAGGTAATACCACCACTTTTTATAATTTTATCAGCTTTCCTTTTCAGCCCTTCTTCGTTTCCTTTCCGTTGACTTACCTTACCATCTTCTTTCATTGTCTTTACCAAATCTTCATTGTAAGTAGTCAACTTTTGCAACACACATCCTTCTTTACCTAACGTCATATTCATTTCTCTGTAAAGTTGAATCCCCTGATCGACAATTTCACAACCCATCATGAGATCGTCCACATAAAAGTCTGCAAATATCTTCTCAGCCGCGGTTGGAGAAACTTCACCGTGATCCAAATTCATCCCAACATATTCATTAGTAACCTCTGTGTACTTCTGTTTCAGCTTGCCGTTCTTCAGTCTTCGTTCTAATGAATACGTTCTTTTTTCAGGTGTTTGCCAGGAATTCTTCTCGTCGGGAACTTCGTTCTTCACCGGTAGACGCTCATTGTATCGACCAGTTTCATCTCTACGAGTAGTTCTGGTACAGTATCTCTCGCATGTCTCTTCATTTTCCGTACAGGTTCCTTTCTTTGGCAACGGAATGTCATCTTCTAGCTTCCGACATTTTCTTAGAAACTGATTATCCTCCACGCTACAATGCATCACGTTTATTGTTTCAGAGGGCTTCATGGGCGTGTGAACAATACCAGACAAAATCCACCCCAATGACGAACACTGAGCAAGTGGTGAACCAAACGGTCCCTTGATGACTCCGTTTTGAATTACCCGGCTATATACTTCTGACCCCAACAACAAATCCACACTGTTAGAAGTATAATAGCTCGGATCCGCGAGGACAATGTCCTCAAGTTCCTTCCATTCCTCCACTGTTATCTTGTGAGTAGGTAAAAGTGAAGTAATGGACCCCAACACATAAGCTTTCACCGTAATAAAAAAGGTTGGATCAATTCGTGATGATATTTTAATTTCCACCATAGACCTCGTCGTAAGCCCGTTCGTGCCACCTACTCCTATGATCTGCCCTTTAACTGGTATCTTTTTCAACCCCAACAATTGAACCATCGCCTCAGTAATAAAGGACGATTGGGACCCCTGATCCAGTAAAGCACGAATCGTGTAGGTTTGGCCGTATTTAGAGACGGTATTTACAAGTGCCGTTGCTAACAAAACCTGGCTGTAATTAACATTATCTCTCGTAGATGTACAAGAAATAAAGGCATCAACTTCCTTATTATCATCAGCCAGAACCTCCCTAGCTTGGGTTTCCTGAGCGGCACTCTTGGTTGAAGGATGCAGGAGAGCATGGTGCCTTCTCTTGCATATACGACACTTGTAATTGCTGTGGCAAAATTTGGCAGAGTGATTGTTCCCGAGACAACAATAACAAACATTGTTGGAAGCCACAAATTCGCGTCGAACTTCCACTGAACTATCTCTAAACCCCTTACACGTGCTCAATTTGTGTTCTTCCTTACAAAAGGGGCAGGCTAACGTCGCAACGTGCATAGTTTTCGTTCTATTGATAGGCAAGCTTTTATTCGGAATCGGTTTGGACTCTGAGCTCAAAAATTCAAGGGCGCGGTATCGGTTCTTAAGAAATTCCTCGAATTGACCGTAAGTAGGTAGCTCACTAGAGTTGTTATCCATGATGCTAAATTTCCATTGCCTTTTTGACTCAGGGTCCAACTTCAACGCTACTATATAAATCACAAGCACGTCCCAAGTACCGGTATCTATACCAAGATTAGAAAGAGCAGACAAACAATCGTTTGTAGTATCCATCAACCCTTTCAAACCACTAGCCGACTCACAAGTGACATTTTTCTGGCTTAGCAGTCTTTTCAGGATGTGATGACAAATGTATCTTTTGTTGTTGTATCATCAAACAAACGCCAACATTGCTCGTAATTGCTATCGGTAACATTGAAGTAATATTACTACGTATAGAACAGACATCGCGAACAAAATATGTGCAGTGCGGGGTGCGGGGCGGGAATTTGACGGACAGCTGTCAGTCAAATCCATGACTATCAAGTTTCATAATTTATGGCGATAAAATCTGCACCAGAAAATGTCGTACTTCATTGCTAGGATTGCGCGAATAGTGACGTTCCTGCGGTCGCCTCATCATAGACATTTTGAATCGATTGTGAAAATAAACAAATCGACTAAATTGTGTTATTTATAATTTTCATGGTGCTCAATAGCAAAAATGTTCAGCTACTTACATTATTTTCTTTTATTATATTGTGCGTTTCCTGTAATGTAATCCAAGCTCCCCTCCCTTAGACTAAAATAATTATCCCTCCTAGACAAGTGACTAGACAAGTGACAAAACGTAGCAATCGAAACATTCGAAATCACTTCGCTCTGCCGTTTTTTGGTGTTAGTTACTTCACTCTGTNAAAAAATGCTAAAAATTCCGAAAATTTCTAAGTGTTTGAGAAAATTAATAACTCTGACAGAAATCGGGCATAGGTTCCCCGTAGCAACCGCTTTTTCAAAATTATTCTAAGTCCTAAAATTATTTCTAAAATTTTTCTAAGTTAATATAAACAGTTTAAATTTTCCAAGTTAAATTTCTAGTGTAAATAAAGTCCAAAATTCTTCAATTTTCTTCACACATAAAAATGTCAAAAGAGTACTTACAATTGTATCCGTCTCACTCACACACTATCACAATAGACGGCGCCGAACGGAACACGAACTTCTTCGGGCTCCGACACGAACCCCTTAGGGCTCCGAGACGTCCTCCTTAGGGCTCCAACACGACTCCCTAGGGCTCCGAGCGTGTCTCCACCAGATGGCGCCACTTCAGCGCAGCACCACCATCATCATCTGATGTTCCTCAACCAGTTGGTTGCCCTGACAGCACCACAGCTGGTACTGTCAAACTGGTGTCAGCAGCTCCTAGCTGACCCAGCTTCTTCACCTGTCCTGTTTGCGACAGCAATCCACTGTCCAGGACGTCACCCCCCTCCAAAAATGCACAAAGTGTGATCCCGGTACCTGCACCGTTACCAGTGCCCAATGGACATCAGCTTCCTGATGATATCCGGCTCGAAGGACCATGAATAAACCACGGATACTCTCGGCGCACTTAAGGGACTCTTATCTAAGTATAAATAAGACGTCAATATGTAGGTGACAATTTATTGCTTGTTATGTCAAAACACTCCAGGGTATATATAATAGGGGTAAAAAATCTGGACACCGCGGTACAGTTTTTCGCATCTCAAAGTGCAGTGACATCTATCGGCAACTAAATGTAACAACTTTCATGGAAGGTTTATCCAACGTGGTTTTACATTTCCGCAAGTAAAACCACGCAATAGATAACACGAATGTGCATAAATTGTGATTTTGCAATCCGACATAAACAAATGGGGTCACCAAATCTCCAGCGGTCGACCGTAATTTGAAAACTTACTCCCAAAAGGACCCCCAGCCCCTAGATCCGGCCCTGCATTGAGCAAAACTCTATTTCTGGCGCGGGTCAGTTAATAGCAGCGAATGGGGGCCGATTGTTGTTTCCAGGTGGTAGGGTCCAAGTCTGTACGTTATGATGATACACTGATACAGGCTTTGTTTCTAGGTTTTAATTAGTTTGCTTTTGTCTACCTATAGAAGTAAAAGCTAGCACACAATATTCTACTTTTAGCATCGGCTATCGGCGATATAGCCGTATAAGCTGAATGCAGCGATCACACATTCCATACCACACATTTATTACAACGCCAATCGCGGTGACTGAGACGATTTTCAGAACTGGACGCAGCGACAGTAGTCGCTTAAACGCGCGACTCCGATACCGCGTCCGAACGCATGAAATCGCGAAATCACGATACTGCCGATACAGTCACGAAACAGCAGTTGCAGCAATAATGTTAACAGCATTTTTGTGTTCCGGCAGTTAGAGGTAAGATAGCCAGTTCCTCCGTGATTGAGGATTCCGGGTAAGCTCGCTTCCACCTTCGGCCTGATCGTCACTTACCGTCAGGTGAAATACAGGCCAAGAGCTTCCTCGTTGTGGATTAAAAAAAATCGATGAACCGAAGATACCGATGCTAAAAATAGCATGTCTGCTGGAGAGTTAGATAATTTTCAATCAACACGAGTGTAGACTCTACACTTAACTTAAAAACAAATCATAGAGACGAATCATAAATCCATCTTCGACAGACACCTCCGCTTTCAATATGACCCTGGCCGACTATCGCTTACCATAACGCTGATAGTTCAACTTTAGCACATTAATATTTCATACTACTCAAATCTAAAAGGGTTTCATGGATCTATATACAGACAAAATCTATTCTAATATTATGAATGCAAAAGTAACTCTGTCTGTCTGTCTCTCTTTCACGCCTAAACTACTGAACCGATTTTGATGAAATTTGACATAGAGTTAGTTTGAATCCCGGGAAACGACATAGGATAGTTTTTATCCCGGTTTTTGAAACAGGGACACGCGCGATAAAGTTTATCTGTGACATACAAAATTCCATGCGGGCGAAGCCGCGAGCGGAAAGCTAGTATTGTATAAATCTATTGCGAAGACTCGTCCTAGTTCATCATTTTCAGCATAGTATCATAGTTCTCAGCACTGCATGACATTGACAGCAACAATTCGAGAGAAAAATACACTTATGACCTTTATTTAGTATATTATCCCATCGATAAAGCTTCACTCACAAAAACGGAAAAATCCCTATTCTTAAGAATTTACAACTTCAAGTAATAAAGCTTACTAAAGAGTTGTCAATTTGTCACAGAAATGAATAATAGTCAAGAATAGACACCGTGAAATCAGATGCCGCCAAAAATGACATAAAAAGCGCGGCAAAATCTCGTGATTTATCGCCGCCATGTTTGGCACGGTTGCCATGGTAATACACTTCGTATTTTGAAAGATGATTCATTTGTTTGAGAAGTCAGCATATCCTCTTTTTCTGGGTTTAGTGAAACATGATATTAACTTCTTAACAGATTTTTCATAAAGTGGCTACCACATTTAAATCTGAACCACTTTTTGTTTAAATCGTTCTTAGGAAAATGCCAAGGAAATCAACCGTGGACGACTAGTTTTTCACAAAGGGCTCTCCAATCAATGTATTCAAACTTTTTAAAAGAATACAAGCCCACGCTTTAATGGCGCCCACTGTATCAGAAAAATATGTTCCGTACGCCCCGATTCGCCTCAGTAATATGATATTTGAACTGACATTCATTTCCTATGTAGAATTTGATTTCAAAGATTTATTGGTTGTCTATGGTTCAAATGTCAAATTTGCTTTATATCGAATAAAACTTCTGGAATGCAAGAAACAAAGATTTTATACGTAGATACATGTCAAGCTATGTAATCTCTCTATTTTATAAGGTATCAAATATATTATACTGTTATCTATCTGTACAATAAAATTAATAAGACGTAGAAATGCATTCGATTAAGGGAGGTCACTGATAAGACTGACTGACACTCATCACGAAATCTCAGAAACTACAAGTGCTAGGACTCTCAAATTTTGCATGGGGGTTTCTTTTAGAACGTAGGTGCTCACTAAGAACGGATTTTACGAAACTCCACCCTCAGGGGGTAAAACGGGATCCACGCGTACGAACGAAGTCGCGGACGGCCG